GATCACATACATACAGTTCAATCGTCATGGAGCCAAAGTCTTTCACATAGTGTTTCGTTATTCAAATGGGTTCCATGGCATAGCTATCTGCGGTAAATCCATTCGTGCAGAAAAAGTACCGAACGGGGCGGCGTTCGTATGCTGGATAAACAGAGGAAGGGAGGTTGGTGGCTTCAGCGGTGTTCGTGAGAAAAAGTCTCAGTTTTTAGTTTCATGAAATCGTCGACGAACCCCGCTAGGCATTCGTACGTCCAAGGTGGCCCCTGCCTCGTGGTCGGCATACAAACGACGACTACCCAGCCGACATTCGAGAATTAGGAAGTGTCTGCAGTTAACCACAACGTTCTGATGGGGCCAAGAGGTTAACAAGCAGCACACTTCCTTGCTGGGTGGCTGGCCGTTTGGCAGTTTTTCGGTAAAAGAGCAAATAAACGTAGGGGCTGTACGAACAGGGGAAATAGCCGAACAAACAGACGAATGGAGGGAAAATAAAAGTAACAGACAGTCACAGTAACCTTGTGGGGAAAACTGTATAAAAGGCAGTGTGCCACAATAAACCTGGAGTTCCTGATTTACCCTCAACACAGAGCCTCGTCTCGTGCTTCTAGGGAAAAGATATACCTGCTGCAATCCCTGCCTTGGTATAGCTCTATAATTACTCGCACTTCTGAGAGCAGTTCTCAGCCTCAGCCTCCCTCTCACAACATCAAGAAAGGACATGTCTTGGCGACGAAAACCCCTCACTCTATCGGGGTGCCGTTACAATAACAATCGCAACTAAGTACAGCTGAGGACAATTTGTGGGTTTGGTTAATGCGAACGGCCGTCAGAGAGACCGCTTTTGGTTCCATTCACATGAAGGGAAAGTGCCGAACCAGGGGCATCCAGGGCACGCTACTAAATGGCGTTTGGGGAGATTTAACTCCCGACCAGTGGTGTATCCTGGTTTTGTGCTGCCCTAGGCAGGACAAAACTCAGGTGCCCCACCTACCCCCGTGCCACCCCCACCCAACTCTTCCCCCCCACCCCACCTTCTAAATACACACACACACAGTCAGACACACACACACACAGTCAGACACAAACACACACAGTCAGACACACACACAGTCAGACACAAACACACACAATCAGACAAACACACACACACAGTCAGACAAACACACACACACAGTCAGACACAAACACACAGTCAGACACACAAACACACACACAGTCAGACACAAACATACACACACACACACAATCACTCACATTAACACTTTTTAAAAATTTTTTATTTAACCACCAGCCTCCTTACCTTTGGTAATGCTGGGGGGGGGCGGATCCTCTCTCTCCCTGGGGGTCCAGTGGCTGCCGGTCGAGCTGATGGGCTGGCTACTGGGCTGGCGGCTGGGAGCCGGGTCGATGACGTCATATTCCGGCTCCCAGCCTCACTCTGTGGCGCGCGAGGGAGCTGAGCAGACCGCTCAGAGGAAGTGCTCCCGCGCCAGCTGCACGTCCAGCGCCCAGCATGTCAGTTAGCCGCGAGGCTAACTAGGCATTTGCCCTGGGCATTTGGGGTGCGGCGTTTTTTGCCGTCCCCTGGAAAATGCCGCCCAAGGCAAATGCCTTGTTTGCCTCGCGGCTAATACGTCCCTGCTCCCGACCAGGGTTTTGTATATGGTACATAGTCTTGGGGCAGGAGGTAGCTAGCAGGCTCCTCCAGGAGCTCGTGACATAGGCACATTTGTCACACTCCTAATATAGTGCAAATATAGTGCACTATTACTCCTGATTCCATGCACTATTACTCCTGATTCCATGCTGTGAGGAAACCAAACTCTTAGTTCGTTAACTTGGATTTTTCTTGTTCGGTAGATAAAACTACCGAACACCAACCACACCCCTGGCTCATTAACTACAAAGAAAAAACGCAGATTAAGTCCTCTCCCTGTTTGGCCGCCATTCGTTTGGCCATCTTGTTCGCACGAAAGAGGCAGCGGGACTTGGTTGTCGAGTGTCTGGAACTAAAATCGGACACTCAACTTTCCGAAAACCGGTCAACTTTGTGAATGCCTGCTTCTTTTCAACGACCATCCAGGATAGCGCTATTCGGTAGTTTTGTTCCCACAAATTAGGGGAACAAACGCTACCCATGAGCCAGGGGAACAGTTTGTGAATTTGTTCAGTTTTTAGACTTCCCGAAATGGACTGACCGCAACCGATGAAACTGTGGAACTGTTTTGGGCATAGGATTTTGTGTGTGGTCGGTCAAATTATGACCTCCATGGAAATCCTGAACCCCTGAACCAATCTGGGTGATTTTTGGATATGTTGGTCCCCCAAATCGGGGCTTTCAGGATATGACTTTAGTGGGGTTTCCATGGGTTTTAAGGTACTTTCTGGGCTTTGTTGAAATGTATGTTTTTTTGTGCCTGGAGATAATTGAGTTCTGTACAATCCTTGACTCAATTATCTCCCAAGCACAGGGGAGGGATTATCCTATTTTTTTATGTGGGAGTGTCCTGGACCTGAGAGCCAGTGTACTTCATAGTCCCCTCTCAGGTCCAGTGGGGATGCCCCTGGAATATGTCACTGTAAACCCTGTGCATGGGGACTTGCATATAAACCAGTGAGTTGGCCTGAATAAATGAATTCCTGTTGATCCCTTCATCTAGTCTAGGCTGATGTTTGGGTATACATCTGATTTGCTTG